TGGAGATGGGCCTTTACTTGGGCCTGAGATTGTACATGAAACAACGAAAAAGGTGAAGTTAATTCAACAAAGATTGAAAACCGCGCAAAGCCGATAGAAAAGTTACACGGATGTCCGAAGATGAGACAGGGAATATGAAGTGGGTGATCATGATCATGTTTTCATTAAAGTGACACCGATGAAAGGACAACTCGCTTTGGAACCAAGGGCAAGCTAGCACCGAGGTATGTTGGACCATATAAAATTATTGAAAAGATTAATCTAGTGGCATATCAGGTGACATTTCCTCCTGAAATGGAACATATGCATAATGTCTTTCATGTTTTGATGTTGCGGGATTATCTTCGGGATCCTTTTCATGTAATTGAGCCTACTCATGTGGTGTTGAGTGATGATTATACGTATGAAGAAATGCCCATTTAGATTGTAAACAGACGGATCAAGAAGTTGAGAAATAAGGAAATTCTGTTAGTAAAAGTAGATTGGCAAAATCACGGGGGTACTTATGCAACATGGGAAAAAGAAGATGATATGAAGCGAAGATATTTGGACCTCTTTTCACTCAATCCTATATTCTTTCCGAAAGAAGGTAATTGAGTTTGGAGGACCAAACGTCCTAAGGGAGAGAGGATGTGACAACCACCTCCTTAATTAAGCAAATTAATTAAATTGATTATATGCTTATGGCTAATTATGTGATTATATATTATGTGAATTATTGCCATATGGTATATACTTGCATTGATTGGTATTGTAGTGTTATTGTGAATAGAAATGTAAATGAATGAATTAAACCTGTTTGATTCGGTAATTTTAACAAATTAGAATTAAGAAAATAAAATATGAAATTAGAGCCTGATTCATATTAGGAAGGATAACACTAGTTTGATTTAAGTCATAAATGTTAGAGACTAGTTTAATTAAATGAGTTCGATGTTAATTAATTTATTAGTCAAATTTATTCAAGCTTAAGTGGTATAAACTAGCTCAATGTTGTGCTGGCTAAGTTGAATTAAAACATATTATATACAAGAGACTAAAGTCAAAAAAAAAAAAAAATGAGAAAGAAAGTGCTCAATCTAAATGAGACGTGGTAAGCTTTGGTTGAGTCTTATGCTTGTTACACGTAGAAAGAGAAAATGAGAGAATTTTGAGACTTCAACAAAGAATAGAAAAAAAGGAGAGAAGAAAAGAATAGGGAGAGGAAGAATACTTAGCTTTTCACAATTCACCAAGTTAAGGTAAGATTTTCATTCAATCTTCTTGAAATTAACTTCCCATGCTCATTATCTTCTATGACAAAGGGTCAATTAGGGTGAATTCATGGCTAAATTGGGAGTTTTATTGTTGAAATGGACAAACTAGAACACGCAAGTTAAGTTAGGAAAGAATTGAAGGGAATTGGGCTTAACTATAACATGCATGGCATGAATTGATGGTATTTTATGTATATATATATTTTCTTGCATGAACTCCATGAACTTCCTAAATTTTAAAGAACTTTCATTATGAAGTTTGGACTTAGAAGTTTGGAACACATAGTCCATAGTTTATCCTAGTTTTGGAGTTCTGATCAACCAATTGGAAGAATTAATTCTAGTTTTGGGCATGCATGATTTCATTGTGTTCACACACATTTCTTTTGCATGGGTTTTGCAGTTTGCAAGGAAATTCCATGGGATATAAAATCTTAAGGCTCAAACATATGTATCTATGCCTATATATTTCAATTCAAAATTTTACTTGGTTTTCATGGGAAAACTTGAGTTGAATTAAAGTCATAAATTGTGTTTGATATTAGACTTTATAAGTCCAAGTTATTCTCATGGATTTTGGGTTGAATTGTATGAAAATAAGCTTAATTTTTACAAAGAATCACACTGCTCAAATAGAGCAGTTTTCGGACTGGTTGTGTGGCACTGCCGCACGTGCAGCCTGGAGCCCCGCACGTGCGGAAAACAAGGCAATTTTGTTGTGCATTATGGAATAAAAGCACCTGCGGAGGCAGGTGCGGTGAAGGTCCCGCACGTGCGGCCCTGTTTGGTAAGACCCGGCTTATCTTTCGCTCTACTTTTTCACTTTCTAGGCCTCCAAATGCATGGTTTTAAAATGTTTTCATAACCATTGGCATCTCACAAGTGCATTAGAGGGCATAAATAAAAATTAGAACCGAATTAGTAAAGATGAATAGTTATTGATGTAGTAATAACCGAATTGAATAGAATTGATTAGCGACATGAAAGTTATTGAGTTGTTATACTTGACTCTATTTGTTTAGGTCGGACGCTGAATCAATAGCACGTGTGTTTTCAGGAGCCCACTGTGAGTAACAATGTTGTAAAGATATGTTCAAATTGTATTTATTTTCTGAATGATAAATTATATCATTTCTAAACGGTTACTTTTTATCAATTGAATGATGATCCTCTTTTGAATTGTATTCGTGGCATCCATAGCGTATTGTTATTGTTATTGATATCGCTATTGTTACAGAGATCTCTGTCAGTTCCAAATCTTGGAACTATTGTTATTGTATGATGCTATCAATTGATTGTTCGGTCTTTTAGGCCTAGTGTATTGTTACTATCAGATATACCACGTATGACTTATTTAATTATTGATTGATTGAATTCATTGAATCAAACGATTGATCGATAAATGGTATTGATTGAAAAGTCTATTGAAATCGATTGTTTCAAAGACGGAATGACATCGTTCTCAATCTCTTTACATATTTGTTATTCATTGGGCTCTAGCTCACAGTTTATTATATATATGTAGGTGGCTAAGCACTGGATCAAGGCTAGAGGCGTCGACCCGAACTCATGTTTTGCCAAGCCATCCATTGTGCCTCATAACGAGGTTTCGAACCTTCACGAGTCAAGGCTTTCTTTTTTTTTTTTTTTTTTTTTTTTTTTTGGTGTTTCCAATCCACCCTTTTGTTTTTGCTAAGTGTAAAGAATGTTTAAGAATTTTGTTTACACAGTTTTTGATGACGAGATTAATTCCCTAACTTGCATGTTGTCTTATATAAGTATTTTTGGCTTAAGTGGTTATGAAAATGGCCATGTATATGAAATTTATTTCCATTCAGGTCCTCACAGCTCATTGGACATTATCTTCTTATTATTTGGCTTCCGCCAGCCCCGTATCTCGTATTATTGTCATTATTGTTAATCAGGCCTTCGGTAATGACGGATTACTGGCTAGTTACGATGCCCAAACCCATAGGGGCGGGTTTGGATCGTGACAAGTGCCGAGAGATCCACAGCATGCCCAGCAAGGGAAAAATCGATACTTTTATGCCAATGGAGTGAAGAGATATCCGAAAATGGTAAATGTAATAACAAAATGATAAATGTAATAATAAAATGGAAAGATTTCTTACCTTAAACAAGGGTTTTCAATAGTTTTTAGTAGAGATTCAATGGAGCTCTTCAAAGTCTTCAATAGAGGTGAGGAAAGTTCAAAGAATTTTTTTTTTTTTCTTTTCTGTTTGAACGAAGTGAGTTTGGTCTTCATCAAAGTGGGTGGAACTAGAAATGTGAATTAGGATCAATTGAAGTGTGTCTATTTGAGTGTAAAGTGTGTGTACTATGGTTATGAGTGAATGATGTAATTATAATTTTAATGATGTGGATTGAAAAAATTAGTTAATAATTAAATTAATAGGAGTGTGTATTGAGAAAAGAGTTGCCTTGAGTTAATTAGGTGTGTGAAAATAGAATTTCCCTTTAGTTAAGGCTTAAGTCGGGTGGTGAACAAGTTGACTATTAGGCCTCGTTTGGGAACAGGCTAATTTAGTAACTTTTTGGCTATTTAGTTAAAAAAGTAGGTAAAAAAAACTTATATGTTTGGGATGATTTTTTGGCTAATTACGAAAAGATGTGCAAAAAGTAGAGAGAAAAGAGAATCTTTGACTTTTTGATATGAGTTGTTGGCTTTTTGGCTAAAAGGGTAACTTTTTGGCTTTTTGGCTAAAAAGGTAAATCCCCAAACGGGGCCTTGTATTGTTTAAATTTGTCTTCAAAATTTAATAAGTTTAAAAATGTGGTTAAATTTGTCGTACAAAATGAGTCAATTTCAAACAATTTTTGTATACATTGAGCTTAAATAATTTGATTTTTTATAATATATATAAACTTACGTGGCCCAATAATAAGTTTTCAAGTTTAGCTTGAAAACTTAACCATATTTAAAATGTGTTCAAATTTAGTTTATTTACCTAATGAACATATCTCAAACAATTTTTTAACAAGTCGAACACAAATCAAGTTCAAGTAATTTGGCTCATTTAATAGCCCTAAGATTAAAAGATGTCAATCTAAAAATAACAAATAATTTTTTTTTTAGAGTTTGACTTTTGTAATAAAATAAATTCTGAATTTTTAATTTTATAAATTTGAATTCTAATCTTTTGATTTGCTTTCAATTTAAACCATTTGACTATTTTCAACAAAATAAGGACATTTTTGTCATTGAACTCAATATAAATGTATATAAAATGTCTAAAATATTTTTTTTTAATAACTAAAATATTATTTTTCATCAATTTTACTTAACAAAAATAAGTAAATAATTTAGATTAAAAACAAATAAAAAATTAAGATTTAAATTGATAAAATTAAAATTTTATTTTATTATAAGAGTCAAACTTAAGATTTTTTTTTATAATAATTTTCTTAAATAACAATTTTTCATAGGACTTGTTTGGTAGTATTTTTTTCATAAATAAAAAATAAAAAATTTCGATACAACTAAAAGAAAACATTCTCCAACACATTTCCACCTTACAAAAAGGTCAAAAACTTACCCAAAAAAATCACCAAACGAGACCTTAGTTCGAATAACATTGACCCCAAAGTTTTGTTGAGTACAAATTGCTACTAATCTTGACCAAATTACACTTACCTCCCCATAATCTTTATAGAATTGCACAAACCGCCCCCTTTCCACATTTGGAGTGAAATTCACAACTTAACCAGAATTTGAACTATTTTTTGCCAAACAGAACCCCTGGAATTGGAACCCCAGCCTCGGAGTGCCGTGACGAACCGAAACGTACATCTCTCTCTCTCTCTGTCTCTCTCTCTCGCTCGAAGAACCAGAAGAAGAAGAAGAAGAAGAAGAAGAAGAAGAATCAATTGGTATCGAAGCTCTATTTCTGAGCTGAAACCCTAATTCTCAGTCGCTTGCTGTTACGCAATTCGTATCAGGTTCCCTCACTCTTTCGGCTTCTCTGTTTGGCTTTTTGCTTGAATTAAGGGTTATTTTTTATGTTTAGGTTTAAAAATTTAAGTGAAATGTTTACGTTTGAACACGAACATGAATGCATTTCTGTAATTCAACAATCACTTGTTTGTGTAAATGTACTTTCTTTTATGATTTAATGCTGTAATTTGAAATAGTTCTTTGATTTTTTTTTTATTTATTTTTTAGAATTTGGATGATTCACAGATTTGTATACTGAATTAAACTGCTTATAGCAACAACTGTTTCGATTTATGGAAGGTCTTTCTATCTTTCTTTACTGTTGTGTTTGAGTAAGAAAACTTGGTGTACACATTGAGCATGCATATTGAAAGTCTAGAAACTGAGGCTCCATTTATTTCAATGTTTAAGAAAATCTGAATTTACAGAGAAAAGGAGGATATAACTTTTTCGTGGTGTTGTGAAATTTAAAGATGTTGCCAAGGGTATACCTTAAGACAGGGCCTAAAACGAAATCTCAATTAGAGGTGTTTTTTTCTTCTTCTTCTTCTTTTTTTTTTTTTTAACATTTAAGTGTTTTGCAATACAAATTTTGGGAGTTATTTAATGCCTCTATGAGGATTATGAAATGAAAAGAATTGAAAAGTGGAAACTATCAAGTAAATATAGTTTATAAATTCAAAGTGAAGATCATGTCAAGAAAAAAAATATGAAAATTGAAAATAGACTTGTATAACATATTCTAAATTGATGGAGGCCTTTTTCAAAATAACTCTTTTTAAATTAATAGATTGTATAATTTTAAAATTTGTGTAACTTCTTTTCAATGTGAACCTTTAAAAAAAATAGAGTGGGTACTTTATACAAACATATAACAAACAGGTAGAGGCCTTTTTTTCTGCAATATGTATTATATTCATGGGTTGAGGTTTTTTTATTATAATGTTTCAAAGCAAACCTTTTAAAACTATACATATATAATTGTAATTTCTTTAAATTTAGGGGCCTTCTTCACAAATTGGGCCTAAAGCCCTTGCTTTAGTGGCTTAGCTATTAAGTCGGGCCTGCCTTAAGAAGCACAAATACTTCTAAGAAGGTAACGTGTATGTCGGACACCAACATGACACTTGCAGAACACTTCCCAACACTTAGAATCCAATGATAAAACAACAATAATATAAATTTATACATATTCTCCTTATTTTGACTTTAGAAATTATTATATTTGACTTAAATATTCATGTATATGACATATAATGAATATATAAAATCATGTCGGTTTCGTGTCATGTGTGCGTGTCTGTCCTTCTTAGGGTATTTATGTATTACAGTGCAAGTAATAAAGAAGAAAACAAGAAACTTTAATAAAGAGCGAGAGTCAACATTGTTTGTGGAAATATATATGATGTAGCAAATATGAAAGGGTTACAGGAAGATATCATGCAAAATCCATATGAGTAGTGAGTGCTATTCTGCTTAGAAATTTTTATAATGTTTTTGAAAGTTACAAAGTGGAAAAAAGGAATGATATGAGGAATTGCTATTTTGGTTTCTTTATTATTTTGTATTTGTTATGAGACTTGCATAAACACACTAGAAACAAATAAAGTCCTTCTGGAAGTAGCATTGGTAGGTTAATTATCCCAAGTAAATAACCCGACAGACAGCTAATTGAAAAGCTCCATCTACACTTCTTCTTAAAATTCAGATATTAAGGAGAGGGAAACTGGAGAACTCTAGGAGATGTGGGACACATTTCGACACACCCTCTTGGACCACAACATACAGTAGCCAAACAAACGACACACCAGTCACAGGTCTAACCAAGCTCTGATACCAAATTAAAAAACTCAGGCCACAACTTCTTCTTAAAACCCAGCTAGGGGTGTTCGCGGTTTGGTTGCGGCCAGAGAACCTCTAATTCGCCATCCGTCCGTCAAATTGATGGATTGAAAAATCAATCCGCATCCGGCCGCCAAATTGACGGATGCGGTTTGAGCAGATTGGCAGATGGATGCGAATCAATTTGGCAGTTTAAACTTTTACAAATTTTAAATATAATACAACAATTTGTCAATATTTTTTTTTTTGAATAATAATCCAACTCAACATAACCAAAAGATTGTCAAGTAAATTATCAAATACTAATAATAAATACATATAAGAAAATCATGCATTATCAAAATTATTTCATTACTTTTTGTTATTCAAAAATTATTTAATTTGATTTTTTTTTTTAAAATGACAAAATTAAAATTTATATTTTCCACACAAAAATACCAAATATCATTTGATAAAAAAGATTTTCGAATTGAAAACACAACAGAATATCTAAACTCATTTTTAATTGAAAATATAAACAGAATATCTAAACAAATTGAAAATACAAAATCTTACAAATTATTAGGGGTGCTTGCGGTTTGGCGATTCAGTTGCGGCCAAAGGAATTTCAAATCCGCTAGCTGCCAAAATTAGGCGGATTTGAAAGAATCAATCCACAACCATCAGCTCAGCATCACGCATCCGTCCAAAATGCAGCGTGTCGGTTCGGTTCGGTTCTGTCGGTTTGGGCGAATCGGAATATCCATTGCTCACCCCTAAACCCAGCTGTTAAGGAGAGGGAAATTGGAGCTTTATAACTAGCACCAATGAGGCAACTCTAGGTGATGTGGGACGCATTTCAACACACCCTTCTGGACCACAACATACAGTAGCCGGACAAACGGCACACAAGTCACAGACCCAACCAAGCTCTGATACTAAATTGAAAAGTCCAGGCCACACTTCTCCTTAAAACCCAGCTATTAAGGAGAGAAATCGGAGCCTTATGACCAGCACGTGTGGTGCAACTTCAAGCAATGTGGGACACATTCAACAGCCTGTGTACTTATTTGCGTCAAATAATCGTTCTTTGTATTTCATTTCCTGACTGACATGTTCAAATATTTAAGTTTATGGGTTTATAAAAATTGCGGAAACATAATCCATTTTGGGATAGTAGTTCAGAATAATTTTCTATCAGTTTTATGCCTTTTTGGTTATGTGAAGTTAAGTGTCTAGTAAATCAACAATGAATAATTAATTAGGAACCTAGGAAGAGGAGAGAATATAAATATTATTTCTGAAAGAGAGCTTTTTTCACAATCGTTTTAAATAAGTTGGTGTTTTACAATTTTGGAAATAAATTGGTAAAAGGTTGTGGAAATTACATAGTTAAACAGGTGCAAATTTTTTTGAAGCCAAGTTATCTGATTGATAGTTCACCGTGACTTTTATTAAATTATTTTGGTAAATTCTACAAAATAGAACAATCCAAGGCAGGGATTCAAGTTTCATTGAGTAGGAAAATCAAAATAGAACAAGAAACACACTGAAATTTCAGTAAAAGATCTTTATAATGAACTCTAGTTTTAAGCATTCCAATCCATGTAAAAATAAATTATATGTATACATGTAAATATGGAACAACAATGTGTGCATGCATTGAGTCTAGTAGCTCACTGTATTTGGGCATATTTGGATGTTGGAGTAAGGGCTCTGATCAGGGATCTATCTTGCTCTTTTCTTTTCTTTTTTCGCCTGTGTTTTGTGACTTTTCTATTATCATCATCCTTATACTTGTTCAGTCGAGTGTCTGGTGTAGGACTGTGATCAATAGACTCTGTTCAAATTCCCATTTGGCTGGGATGTGAGAATATATTCTTTCATTCTATTCTTAATAGATGATGTTTTACTGATTTCTTCCTCTTCTATTCAAGGACAATGGATAGGAATGATGATGACCTGGTTAGTTCTCATGACGATGATATGGATATCAGATGCCAAACATCCAATAACTTGGACTTGAATATAGAGCACGACTGTTGCAGCCCAAAAGTTGCCCATGTTGGCTCAGTGCAGTCCACTCTTTCTTCAAAAGATGATTCTAATTCAGATGGGGTACTTAAGATTGGTATGGAGTTTGAATCAGATGAGTATGCATACAAGTTTTACTGCAAATATGCTGGATTGGTAGGTTTCAGTGTTCGAAAGGACTGGGTCAATAGGAGTAAGGTACATGGTAGGGTGGTATCTAGAAAGTTTACCTGTTCCAAAGAAGGTTATCGGCGGAAAGACAAACGAGATGTTAATGTGAAGAAACACCGGAAAGAAACAAGAACTGGTTGCTTGGCACATATGATAATAACTCGTCAGCCTGATGGAATATATCGAATTACACATTTTGAAGAAAACCATAATCATGAGAATGTAAACCCAAGTAATGCTCAGAACTTACAGGAATTACCATCACAGGGGACAATAGATGGTGCTGGAGTAACTGAAGCTGACTCCACAATTAATCTTGAAAGGCAATCACAATTAGCATTTCAATTGTTGGGTAGACAATTTGGTGCTCGAGAAAACCTTGATTATCCAGCAATAGATTTTGAGAATTATTTAAAATCTGGACGAATAAGAGATTTGAAGGAGGGAGAGGCAGGGCGTTTGTTGTATTATTTTCAAAGGCAACACTTTGAAAATCCTTCTTTCTTTTATGCCATACAGCTTGATGTAGATGATAAGATAAGCAATATTTTTTGGGCTGATGATAATATGGTTGTGGACTATGATCATTTTGGCAATGTGGTTTGTTTGGACACAACATACAGAACACAGAAAGATTTTCGGCCGCTTGTGCAGTTCTTAGGACTGAATCATCATAGACAAGTGGTGATATTTGGTGCTGCACTTATGTATGATGAAACTATTGATTCTCTTAAGTGGCTTTTCCGAACTTTCATCGAGGCAATGTCCAGGAAGAAGCCAGAAGCCATCCTCACAGATCAAGATGCAACAATAATCCAAGCAATTGATTCAGAAATACCAGAAACAAACCACCGTGTTTGCATATGGCAGATGTACCAAAATGCTCTTAAACACCTGAGCCATGTGACAAAGGATGCAGATTCCTTTGCCAAAGTTTTGAGGAGTTGCATTTTTGATCACGAGGATGAGGAGGATTTCATCCATGCCTGGGATGATATGGTAGACAAATTTACTCTTCGGCAAAATGAGTGGTTGCGATGGATGTTTAGAGAAAAAGAGAATTGGGCTGTGGTATATGGCAAAAATAGCTTTTTTATTGATGTGAAAAGCACACATCTAGTGGAGAATTTTTCAAATAACTTGAAAAATTACCTAAACTCTGACCTAGATGTGCTTCAGTTCTTCACACATTTTGAAAGTATGGTAAACAAGCAACGCTACAATGAACTCGAAGCTAATTATGACATGGGCAGATGTACTCCAAGATTGATGGCTAATGTAGTTTTGTTAAAGCATGCCAGTGATCTTTATACACCAAAGGCATTTGAAGTATTCCAGCGAGAATACGAGAAGTGTCTAAATATCGTTGTTAACCTGTTCAGTGAGAATGGGTCGTTGTTTGAGTACAAAGCTAACACATACGGGCAACCTAGAGAGTATACAGTTACATTTAACTCTTCGGATGGTACAGTCACTTGCGGTTGTATGAAGTTTGAGTATGTTGGGATTCTATGTTGTCATGCCCTAAAAGTGCTTGATCATCGGAATATAAAGGTGGTCCCTACCTGTTATATTTTGAAGAGATGGACAAGAGATGCAAGGGTTGAAAGTTTCAGAGAGTGTGCGATCTCCGTAGAAGAAGAAAGCCCCAAGTCCATTACAGCTAGCCGTTACAGAAAATTGTGCCAAAGCTTGCTTAAAATATCTGCCAGGGCTGCTGAATCTAACCAAGCATTTGAATTTGCTGCAAGACAACTTGAGGGAGTGATGCAAGGGGTAGAAAAGATCTTGACACTTAAACCTTCCGAGGAAACTCAAGCTATCACCTCAAGTAGCACTGGGGCATACGCATCTGAAAGTGAACAAGCAGAGATTTTTCTGGATAGAAATGCAATTGAGGGTCAGGATGACAGCAACACATTTAGGGGAACAAATGAAAGGGAGACTACTGCCCCTGATGAAGACCCACTAAATAATCTTGTTGAAAAGATCTCCAAAACTAAAACATCACAGAATGTACATTCACTTCCACCGGATACTGTTGCCTCAATTTCATGTCCTCAACCGGCATATGTTTCTTCTGCATCCTCATCTTTAAATCCTGTTACACAGGTATTGCTTTGGTTACCTGAGTTGTCAACTTGTCACATATAACATATATGTTTTCTGTGATTAGAATTTGTCATATAACAAAGCATATATATATATTTAAATATTCTGTTAAAACACAGGGTTTCTACAATTTTGAAGCAAATCAGGTGGTTCAATGCCTATACCAACCGCCTAATCTATCCATGGCCCAGCAACCCAACCCTGACATTTATCAACCGCCAAACCTCTTTTCTAACCAACATGATTCTCCTAGCCAAGCTCAGTTGCTTCAGGTAAATAAATACAAATTTATATTTTGAAATTTATTATGCATCATGATTTCAGCGTTCAATAGTTCCAACTTTATAGTATGACGAGGTTTTGAAGTTTGTTATGCATCATGATTTTAAGTGTTCACTATTGTACAGGAATCCTTAATTCGTAGTCCATTCCAGGAGCCCATGTCACACAGAAATCAATTGAGGCAGGTAAGATATTGATTACCTCTAATAATGGCAATAAATCTGCCAATAAAATTGTTTTACAATGCAAACCACTCCTTGCATAATGATAAAATTGCTTTCTGATTTTGGACTTGTAGGCAATGGATCTCGATGTCCAACATCCACATTCGACCTCATTCGTTCATTATGATCACAGATACAGAGCATCAAATGGCCAATATTTTGGGTCCAAATAATGATGTGAAAAAAATTGTCCATCATTCTTCACATCTTGTCAATGTAATTTTGGTACTGTACATATCTTCAAATGCATGTTTATTTTGATCATAGCGGGGAAAAAGCAGTGAATTTAATTTCCCCTCATGCATGTGTATCACATACAATAGTCAACTACAAATGATAAAAGGTAATCAATACCCTTTGAATTTTTGCTCATCATCTCTGCGTAGAAGTTATGTTTGGTATTATGGGAAATGTAATGACAATGTTCTGAAGGAAAATCTCTTATCAGCCACAGTTGGAGCACATGAAAGTGTTATCTTATAGAGAACAAAATTTATGTTAGTAATCAAAATGTCTTCTAAGTCTTTGTTGATATTTTATTTGGAGAAGCCACAAAATGTGTAGGGTTTGGTACAAACCAATCGAGTTAAGTTCTCTTGCTTATGTTATGAATAATTCACTGAGGCGTGTCTTTCAAAGGTAAGCTATATTGGGGAAAATAAATTCCTTTCCTTAGAAATTGTTGTCTGAAGTGTGCAGCCTGGATATAGTGGGTTCATTCACTTGCTATGCAGTACTATCGACTTAAATATCAGAATAATCAAATTAAAATGAGTGCTTGATTCCATGAAATGACTCTTGAAATTTGTTGACAGTGAAACAAGCATACCATTACTTTTCTCCATCCTGAAACTACATATCATGCTCTAACTAATTTTCAGGTATGGGTCAGTGTACAACTAGTCTGGTTGGTACAACAATTGTTAGTTCAACTGATTATGAATTCAGCCATTTTATGTTCCACCAGAAGAGGAGTTATTTCAGAGCTGGTGCACAGAAGTTTACATGCTATCATCAGCAGACAACTATCAATCAAAATGCAACCATTTTCTTTTGCAACTTGTGCAGGAAATTCAATTCCTCTGTGCTGGATTTTAAAGGTGTGTACCCCAGCTGTTCATTCGGAACCCACATATAGTATGGTGATCCACTCTCCTCCAATCCATGGCTTTGGGAGGTACGTGTTCCAACATTTTCAAAGAACGTAGATAGCAGATTTTAATACTAACAGTACTTCGTTTGGAATTGACTCAGATAATAATTACCCTGGGCATGTAACTTTAATCATGGATGTGTCATTTGCAGCCACCAAATTTCTCAACGAACTTTATCCAAACCATAGGCAGATTTTACCTGAAAGTAAAATTAGTTTAGGGTATTGAACTGATGTCCCTCCCCTTTGTAAGGTATAGTTCCTACCAACTGTTCCATTCCATCCCTTGGAGTTAAATTAAAGGTTATGTTATGGCAAGAATGGATAGACAAAATGGGAATCTCATTTTATTTCAGGTCTCCTGATTCTTTTGTTTGGGCCCATCCAAGAAGTGAATGTTGTTAGGTTATGCAGCCAAGAAATACACCTAGTAAGCTCTATGAGGTAACCGTTGATAGTGGACTGACTGTCATGACACAAACCGTCACGAACACAAGTTTTAAGTAGGAAAACTAAAGTTCTCCCTAACAACAATTGGTTTTATGTGAACTAGTGAAAGTTGGGACCACAAGTGGTATAAGAGTCTAGATCAAGGGTGGTTCCTTTTGGTTATGGGACTAAATAATCTACCATACTAAGCCTTGCAGACTAATACAGTGGACTAATTGCTACAAACACAAGTTTAAGAACAAAAGCTAAAAGCCTTCTCTAACACCAATTGAGTTTAGGTGAATAGCTGAAAGATGGGACACAAATGTGATTCCTAGTTAGCCTCCCATGGTGGAATGCCATTACCAGAGTGGGAATCTCATTCATGAGAATTTCACATCTCTGGAAATGTGAACTATTTAAGAGTAAAACAAGTAGATAGTTTCGTAATATTTCTATTTTTATTAAACACTTGAATTGCATTGACACATGAATCTTATTATTAGTTCTAAAATTTGTGGTAATGGGATTATTATTCTTTTCTTTCTTTCATTCATATCATCCAAACATAACCTAACTTCCAATGAATTGGTAACCGCACTAAAATGTAATTCTAGGATATGAATGCTGTGTTGATAATGGGCTTTGGACCATACATCATCTGCAAGTGGGACTCCTACAATCTGGATCTAGTTGTATATGACCAGCTTTAGCTCAGGTTTGTGCAAATAATTTTGTTCCGTAATGAATTTGGGAAAAGCAGACTGTTTAGCTGGCATGAAATCATGTTTTTTTTCAGGTACTAATGACAGCATGCTTAGACATCATGTGTTAATTTTAACTTTTCCTCTCTTTGCTAATACCATAATGTGATTATAATTGCTCCAAAAAGCAGGCTGAATTATAAACAACGTTCTTTTTGCTCTGTTGGGATGATTGAAGGATGAGAAAAATGGTTATTATATTGCCCAAAATGTGGTGGTATAATTACACACATAAAATATGGGACCAAATGTGGCTTTTTTCCTGTGCAATTTTGATTGGAAATTGAAAAAAGGCCACTTCAAGAAATCCAAGACTCTGTTAGGAAATTATGGTTTGTTTAGATCTTGAATTGAAAAAGAGGGAAACAAAAAGTGACCCCCCAGAAAAAAAAATTCACTTTTTTTTGGTTATCTGTAACTCCCTCCTTAAAGCAAAAATGATAAAAATTTAATTTATATTTATTTGCTTTTTCTTTAGGGTAAATTACACTAATGTTCTTTGAGATTTAGAGAGAACATATTAAGCTCCACAAATTTAATATAATTACATGAAGCTCTCATAAGTTTTAATTCACATTACATTTAGTTTATTTTTCATTAGTAATTTGTTAGTTGTAGGGGTGGAAAAATAATATTGTCAATTCTTTTGTGTTGAAACCTGTATTTTATCTTATTTATCCATGTATCTATACACTATTTGGATTAAATCCAATCACTAGTTTTCTATTAAAAAGAAGGGATTGGCTTCCCTACAATCTATGATCGAACTGGAAGGTGCTGTTGGGCTCGTATTGGCCAACCATGTGCCTTGTTTTGATAATCTAAACCGTTCAATGTGTAAAACTCGTTGAGTACTATATGCCTATAAAAAATCACGTTGATCAGATATCGATAGCTATTTCATCGGATTAGATTTCTGTTAACTGTTTATTTTTTCATCGTTCATTTTTTTTATATACAAAACTGATTTGATCACGTAACTATCGATATTCGATCAACGTGATTTTTTACAGACATATAATACTCGACGAGTTCTACATATGGAATGGTTCAGATTATCAAAATGAGAACTATGATTGTTATGAAATTAGATACCTTAAAGGACATAATTTAATTTCTAGAACTATAGAGGATAATTTATAATTTAAATAAATCTCAAAAAAATGTATTTATAATTTATCTAAAAATTAAAATACAAGAACTACAGTCCTAATCTTGTCAAATGACTATTGGACTTTACAACAGGTTGCGTCCTTTTGGCTGGTAGTAGCTTCCAAAAAGTCCAAAGGTTAATACAAAAAGTTAATTTTCTTCATATATTTTTGTAAAAAATTAAAAATCACTAAAAAGAGTCAATTTCAAAAAAAATTTATGTAACTTACCTTTCACTTTAAAATAAAATGTTATTAAAAATCAATTTATTTATAATAATAGCAATGTTACATTATTCTTATTACGTTTTTTTGTATGAATTTATGTATGAATAGAATTTATTTTTTTAAAAGGGTGGAAGAGGTGGATAGAAAGTACATTGTAGTTATATGCTTGATTAGGAATGTAAATGAGTCGAACTATTCATGAACAACTTGAATTTGGCTTCTTGAAAATTCATTTAAGTTCGATTTGTTTGCTAAATGAAGGACCTCAAGTTTGACTTTAAGTTCGTTTATTAATTGAGCCAAGTTCGAGTAGTCATAAATTTGACTCGATAAGACTTGTGAACATGAAGAAAATAAATAAATATTTACTTATAATAATATATCAAATAAATTTTTAATAATTTATTTTATTTTTCTAGTTGTGTTTGACGTTTGTGTTAATTTACATTTTGATTGATGAAATTTATTATTAATATAAGTGACATGGACAGGCCCACGAGGCATACAGCCCACGGCAAACCACTCCGAACCCATCGCTTTGGACCTATAGCATAACTTGGTTGGCAAAGTCCAGGACAACTGGAGGCCACCTGGACGTGGAGCGCCAAGGGCATTCGGACACATGACAGATGAGACACAGGCCACATCAGCAGACAAAGATCTGCAGAGTTATTGCCACAACACATCACCATTAATGCAGCCCATCACAGCATTTATTACGACAACACCTCCCCGTCGGAACAGAGCCCCCTCACCCTGAACAAGGTAAGCTACGGCACAGGCTTTCGGCGGAAAGGGGGCACGTCACAAGGGACAGTGAAATGATTACCAAAGGATATAAGCAACAAGAGAAGCACAAGAAAAAAGTTAAGCTTTTTATCTATCCATCTTCTTCCCTACATTTTCCTGTTTTCCTCTACTAATTCTCTCGCCGGAGGGTTCACTGGGGGACTGCCCCGTTCCCCTTTGGACTTGTTTGCAAGTCATTTGACGGAATCACCACCCGAAGCCGGAACCTGAAGAACCTGGGCCAGCCTGACCCATCCACCCGGGACGGACTGTATCATCAGTTGGCGCCGTCTGTGGGAAGTTGGTGGTTTATTCGCGCGCTAGTTGTGTTCGCTATCGTCGGAGCCCTCTTTTCTCACTATCATCTTTTTCCTCTCACCCGTCCAGGTGCATGGTCATGACTAGGTCCATGGCCTCCCACTATAATGCCACCGATCATCAAACAGACCCTTCTCATCCAAACAACCCACCACAGTACATCATCGAGCTTACCAACAGTATTAACCGCATGGCCGAGCAAAACCAGGCCCTGATCAATGCTTTGCTCCAAAGAAACCTCCCTGCTCCACCCCCAGACATTCCACCTAACCAAGAAAGAACCCCGAACCACACGGCTCCACCACCCCTTCCCCCCAACCCAGAAGGTTTACGACCCCCTCCTCCTCCACATATGAGCCTACCACCTCCGTCTCCACGCCCGCCGGTCGTGCCACTACCCCCTGAGGGGGAAGCCAGCAGTGTCCAGCCCCCATTTACCGACCATGGAGACAATATTCCCCTCTAGGACGCGAAACTCCGAGCTATGAAACTCCAACTACAAGGGGTCATCCAGAACATCCAACACAAGCTCTCAACCACCGCCCACTCGCCTTTTGTTGCCTCCATCCGCGACAAACCGTTGCCCGCCAAGTTCAAAATGCCTACCATTGACTCATTCGA